GAGAGAGAGAGAGAGAAAGAGAGAGAGAAAGAGATTTGCCGTGGATAATCATTAGTTACATTGTATGGGCCTGAACTTACCCAGATTCGCGTAAATCGAGTCTGAGGTGGTCGAGGCTGCCGGCTGCCACGACGACGACGACGACGACGACGACGACGACGACGACGACGACGAGGATGCTGACGGGGAGGAGGAGGGGGGGAGAGGAGGTCGGCGATTTCGAGGATGACTTGTCGCTCCTCGACGGTAGTTGTTTGGTCTCGACGCGTGGCGGTGGTGGTCTGACCGGTTTGCTCGTCGGATCCAGTCTCGACCAATCCTCCAGGGACTGGTTCCTCGGCGGTGGTGGTGGTTTCCCCGGCCTCACTGCAACATCGAATATCGTTAGCCAGGTTTACGACGGTTGTAAATTTTGACGTTGGCCGTTCGGAGAATTCAAGCGCCGGCCGGCTTGAATTGAAGCCCGCGCCTCGTACATTAGTCGCCCTCTTTGAAGAGGAGTCGCGTGGAGTGGGCGTGACGCGGCGGCTTAATAACGCCAGCGGTATTTAACACGCGTGTTAATTAAAAACGACAAGATCGTGGAGGATGATTATTCGTAAAATTGATCGATTCGATCGTTGTGTTTTCGTGTACAAAGTATTTCGTAGCTAAGGTTTCTTCGAAGATCCAATTATTGATCGATCGAATCGCACCGTTCCATATAAAACACGATCGAGCAAGATTGTCGAGTCAAAAAGAAAAAAACGAAATATCGATGCTGACGCTTCGCGAAGAGCGTGTTAAGCGACTCACCGGCGTGCGATCCGTTGGACAAGGGGGATCGAGTCTGTCTCGCCGCGTCGTTTCTGGGAGCGCAGGAGGAGTCCGGTTGATCCTCGCCTATCCTGCCGATCCGATCGTTGCCCACCACCTCGACAGCGGCGCCATCCAACTCGAGCGGGTGTATGATCTCCAATCGCGGCTTGGGTTGCGGCGTCGAGGGTATCTCGTCGATCCTCGCGTGCCCACCCCCGTGGACCATGTCCACGTCCTTCCTCGAGCCCATTCTCAAGAATCGTTTCAACGAGAAACGGGGCCTGCCCCTCTTCTTCTCCTCCCTCACCTCCGGCCCGCTCGTCAGATTGTCCTGCGACAACGAGATGCTCCTCCTCGAGGTTGGATCGTTGGCGGTCGGGTTTTGAAGGGGGGCGGTCGGGTCAGGCAGGTCGGAAACGGCCTTTCGAAATTTCGGGCTGCACGAGGAGGCCCTCTCCCTTTTCTCCTTCTCCCTGACCACGGGCGAGTCGGATTTGAAATTGGCGCCGGGATTCCTGGCGAACAAGCTCGAGGTGGAGGCGGGTAATAACTCCTCGGCCGTGAAATCGGCCGCTGGCGGTTTCGGCGCCATTCTCCTCTTGTTGTTGTTGGACGATCGTATCGCGTCGATCATCGCCGAGGATTCTTCGTCGCCGCCCTCCTGGCTCGGATCTCCACAGCTCGAACTCGTCGTCGTCGGCCTCGACTTGTTCCCGGGCGAAATTTTCGAAGCCTCGACCGCACGACACGGCGACGACGACGGAATCTTGGAGACGTTGTTCTGCGTCGATCGAGGAATCTCGTTGGAGATTCGTTCCGAGATGTTCTCGGCGAGGGATCCCCGATTTTGATCCGAAACTTCCTCCTCGGATTTGTCTTTGGTTGCCGTTAATCGGCAGGCAGTTGTCGATTGGTGTTCCATCGCACCTGTGAATCATCCGCAAACCTCGTTAATTAGAGCAGTCACGCCGATCGCTCGCGGCTAATTAGAGGGAATTTGAATTTACCATTTGCCGTCTCCTTAGCAGTATCAACAGTGTGCAACGGTAATCTAACTATTACGGGATGATTTCGATACGAGAATTCAAATTCGGTCGGAGAATCGATACAATTCAAATTTTTCCTCTTCGTGAAATCTCGCGACAATCGAACGAATGAATAAGTCTGGAAGAAGAAGAATTCTTACCCGCACTGGAAAGTCCAGAAAAGCCTTGTTGAACCGGAGAGGAAAGTGGCAAGGCGCAACTCTTCTTCCCGTCGGGGGGATGATTGTTCTTGGCCGAGAAATTGGTCGGCTTCTGGGGCACCGCGGGCTTCACCTTGGCCTCCGAGTTGATGACCGCCCCGTGGAGGAAGGACGGCCTCGGCTCCGTGATAATCGGCGGCTTGAACGTGTCTTGAAGGGTCGAAGGCCTGGCGGACTCGACGGGCGGTGGACTTTTCGGAAGCGCGGGCGGTTCAATCGCCTCCCTCTCGTCCTCCCTCCCGTCCGGCTCGCCCACCGACTCTCGACTCTCCTCGAGCTTCTTTCTCCTCTTCTTCTCCGCCTCCGTGTTGCGCCCTCCCAAGCCTTCCTCCTTGCTCAACGCAGTCGTCTTCCTATCGTCGTCGTTCGTCGACGCGGCGATCTTATTCGCCTCCTTCCCGATCACGGATCTGTCGCTCTCGGCCGCGTCTTCGGCCTCGTTCTTCGCCAGAGGCGTCAGAGTCAACTCGACACCCTTCTCCATCCTGGATGTCTCGCTCGCTCCCTCTCCTCCTCTCTTCGCTCCAATTTTCGCGAAATCGTAGCCGAGCTTCTGCGACGTTTGTTCCCTCTCGTTGCTCTTGGTCGCCGCGTTCTGGCCACCCTTTTTCTCCGATTTCCCGGTATCCGGTAAGTTTGCAGGTTGGATGTTGTTGGGCGACGCGCTCGAGGCTCTGTCCCCCCTCGCTTCGTCGGACTCGTTCCGTTGGACGACGGAGATCAAATTCGCGGCGGACGCGATCAGGGGCATGTCCGCGATCTTCTCCATGCTCGACGGGTACTTTCGATCCTTCTTCGCGTCCTTCTTCGACTCGATCTCCACCTTTTTCTTTTGCATCTGGAAGCGCGCGATATCTTTTTCGATTGTTACGCGAATAGAGGCGTAAATTCGTTCGGAATTAGAGGAATTTTCTGCCAATTTTTAATAATTTTGCTCTTCTCGCTCGGCCGAACCAACAACTCTACCGTACTCGTGAATTTCTTAGCTAACTTAAAATGATTTCACGCGCGAATTAACGCGTTATCATTTTAATATTTTACGTATCTTTACGTATAATGAAAGAAAGAAAGAAAATTCGTCGAATATTAAAGTCTATACGATGTTTCGACGATAATGTAATTATCGTCAACGAATAGAAATAATCTCGTTATTCGATATAACGAAAAATCAATCTCGTCTTCGCTCCAACTAATCTCATTACCCATGCCTACGAAACTGGAAAACTTTGAAAACAATATTTCTATCATCGCCACGATTTGAGATGAAAAAAAATCTAACCGTTCGATATTATTCCACGCTTTATAAGAGCTTAGGAATTTATTCCTAAAAAAGAAAGAAGAAAACAAAAATTCGATACCAACCTCCGCCTTCTCGTTGTCCACCGTCGCCTTGCACTTGGAGAAATTGGCGAACCCGTTGACGAATCCGTTCACCTTCTTGTCGGCGGGCCTCCTCGCCGTCGGCAGGGATTCGTCGCCCCCGAAAGGTGTGACCGAGACGAGCAACGTGGTCTTCTTCCCCTCCGAGTCTTTCTGTATCCTTCCAAGCATGAGGGAGGCGAACGATTTGCCCGTCGATTTGCTCGACTCGTTCGCGGCCACGATCTCCGTCAGATTGGCGGTGACGGTGTTGAAATTGGTGTTGGCGCGCGTCAGGTTGCCCAAAGCCCTTTCCTCCTCGCTGTCAGGCGGTATCTCGTCGTCCCCGTTCAACGAATCGGCCGTGTCCTGCTCGTCCTCCTCCTCCTCCTCCTCCTCCCCGTCCGAGAAGAAGTCATCGCCGCCGTAGCCGATTATCTCCGTCAAACCTTCCGTGAACGTTACGCTCTTCTTCTTCCTCTCGCTCTTCTGCGAGATCCCCTTCCCCCGCAGGATACTCTGAAACACAGTTTTCGACTTAAATGCAATGAAAATCGCAAAGTCTTGACGACTTTCTTCAAAAAAACTTCAGGGAAGTTTAACTAGCAGAGACCGATTAGAGATGTTTGTGAAAAATTACCACGATTCTCCAGTTGACGGGCATGATCTCGATGATCGAAAATTTCCAACCTTTGGAATGAAAATACTATCGTTGGATAGAATTTGATGCGAAGCTTAAACCGAGTTATAATCGTTGGCGCGCGCTCCGGTTCGGTAATCCTGGCTGATAATTCGCTAGACTCGATGATATTCGCCCGATCTCGAGGAGATGGCTCGTTATCGGCTGCTGTCAGGAAACGAAAGTTTCTCTCCCCTCCTCCGAAAGTTTTAGATTCGACGAGGAGGAGGAGGAGGAGGAGGCACAGCCGGCGCGAAAACGTTATTTTTCTCGTCGCCGGGGAGAAGAAAGTTTACGCACGGTCAGCTGGCCTTTTAATCAAAAACCTTGGACGAATGAATTATTCAACGAAAGGGAGAGGAGAGGAGGCCGGCTATTTTCAAAGTCGGAGGAGGCGTGCATCGGGCGACGAGCAACCGTCGACTAAATTCTTCCGCCGTCGAATATTCGCCGTTTGATTTTCGAACGACTCGTTCGTGTTTCATAACACGAGTCAGCGGATGGAAGAGGAGGACAGCGAGTGTGATCGACGCTGCGAATTCTTTCGAAAGTCGACGAGTCGACAAAAGCGGAGGAGGAGGAGAAATTTTATTCCGGACGTCAATTTTTCGAGTTTCAAAAAAAAAACCTCCCTTTTCGAACGTTTCGAACGTTGGATTGAACATTGTTGGGCATTGTCCACGCGATAATTGGATCGATATTTCTTTTTCTTTAGCGTCTGTTTGAGATCACAAGTTTTCAGATCAATGCACGATCTTTCGCACGATATAATTCTCGAAATGAATGAACGAGGTAAACAAGAGAAAGGGATAATTTTAATTTTATCGAAAAGAGAAGAAGTAAAATCAACGTGTAGGAATACTTTCTTCTTCGCGTTTGATTGGAAACATTCGCTCGAAACGAGAGAAGAAAGAAAGGGAAAAAAGAAGAAGAACATTGTCGGATGTGTCATTTTCCATCCCGCCGGATGTCGAACTCTAAATTAACGATCGGAGAAAGTGATTGGAGGAAACTAGGTTTTCACCGGATCGTTTTCTCTCCGAGCTTTCGAGTTTGCAACAATTTCACGATTTCAAAAACGCATCTGACAGAACTCTTTCGTTTTCAGAAGACAGGAAAACATTCTTAAATTCTGATAGAATAACGCCTACTCTCTCCCGATTAAGCGTTTCACACGAACGTTGCATAAACGTCACGTAAATTTAGTGTTTCACGACTCGATTTGAGACTGTCGCGTTGCAATTCGAATATTAGCAAAATATAGAATGGAGCTGATTTTTTTCCTGTTGATTCCTTTTCTTTTCTTTTCTTTTTTTAACGACTCTTCTCGAATGATCTCAGAGTAAGACACTTTTGGAAAGTTACTTTTTTTAGAGGAGGAGATTTTCGTCTCTCCTCGTTAAATTTCAAATTTTGCGCATAAATTATATTTTTGGCAATTAGTCATTCATTGCTCCTTGCTCACTGTTTTTCAACTGTTAAACAACGATAATTTTATCTTTAGAGATCTCCATTTAATCACACTTTTTTGATGACTCATCCCGTATTATACGCGACAAGAAAGAAGCAGGATCACAACAAGTTTATCACATAAACTCGATCTTGGAGTAGATTGAAGCAGCAGGGATTCCACGAATAAATGGAAAAATTCGCTTAATTGGAATAGAAGAAGCTTCGTAGAAATTTTTCCTCCATCACACCGTTGTTTCATCAACATATTAGAACGCACTGATCGAATCAAGTCTCGCCTATCCTCCCATTGCTCGTGCGTTCAACCGGAATTCCAGCGCATAAGTGGCTCGGCTCGTAAGAAAACGAAGAGGAAGAGAAGGAGGAAAAAGATTCGTAGGTAAAAAGCGGCGGGTTGAACATTGGCGCGTGGATTACGGTCCGCGTGGTTACACGCGAATCCCATCACCGCGGGCAGGAAATTCTTGACGTAGGAGCGTGCAGGTCCTTTGCTCGAACGACCCAGTTTCGTCGAAAGTTGATGGCACGGTTCGTAATTGCCCGCCACGATACAATTTTCCATCAGGAGAAATGGAAACGGTTAACTTCGACCGAATGATCGATCATCGTGTTAATAACGGACAGTAATTCTCGAAAAATATCGAAATTTTTCCCCAACAAACGAATTCTTCTCCCCTGTGAAATCACTTTTTTTACGTGAAAATTGTGAAAAATACCTGCAACTTAATATTATCAGTCTTGACGTGGTTCAGAGCCCTGCCTATGTTCACCCTGAACGTGTCCTCCGGCGAGGCGTGCTCCTCCCGCGGCTTGAAGCAGTTGGAACACAGTTCCTTCTTCCACGCGTTCTGCACGAAGCGGTTGCATTGTGCGGACATCGTTGCCTCACTGCAGCAGCGACAGCGAAAGTCCCGTTACATCATCACCCTGAAAGGAAAACAGGCGAAATAGTGGTAACCTTTTCCAATTCTTTAATCACGTCACGGCGTTCGTTCCGCGTGTTCCTTCGTTGCGTTAGGGAGACACGCACGATGGAATGTTGATCGATACTTTTCGTGATCGAGACACGGTAAATTGGCCGCGTTACTTTCAATTGAATCGACGAGTTATCTTGTGGCTACGACGTGGCTACGTGTGGGATTCGAATTTTCTAATTTCTGTTTCGAAGATGGGTTGTTAGCATTTAGGTTTCCGTCGTTATTTTTTGGAACAAGTCGGTATTCTTGTAAAGAATAAGTGTTAGAAAGAAGAGCGAAAAGATCGATCGCTGTTCCATTTTTTATTGGAGGAAGAAAAAGAATCGATTGATATTCCGTCTTTTGGAGAATGGAAATGTACCAGTTTGGAAAATGGGAAGGTCGATCGCTATATGGTATCCTTTGGAAAAGATCGAAAAGTCGATTCCGTCTCTCGAGTGAAAATTCAACAGGAATTTCGTTATTTCGTTCCTCAAAGAGCGAAAGGATCGATCGATTTTCTTTTTTTGAATAAGAGTCAATTATAATTTTGTCTTTCGAGAAGTGATAAAGAGTCAATCTTTCAAATAATTAGGCGAAAAAATTTCAATAGTTGCTTTGTGAGCGAGATGGACAACAACAACGCGACAACAAATTTTGAATATCTAAAATTATTCGTACGATAAACATCGTGATGCATCGAGATAATAATAAATTTTCGAGAGCACAGTCGAATCTCGCGATATTCACCTCGGGATAAAAAGATAATTAAACGTTGTTTTTGCATAGGCAGAAAATTGTTTGCAGTGAAGTTGCAACGAAGAACATGGGGTATAAATTACTCGATAAAGCTTCGCAACAAAGTTTGACTCAGGTAATGAGTTGAATAAATTATCCATTCTTAATTATCCAAAGTTATACGTGGCCTTTTACATATACTTGATTTTTTTTTTCGTTCGAAATAAATGTTTCCTACATCGTGACTTTCATCGAAAATTTCTAGTTTGTAGTTTTTAAAATACTGTTGTTAATTGTACGATTCACGAAGGAACTTGACCCGACTCACGCGTCATCCTTCTTATTAAAACCAGAATTAAATTTTCGAATGAAGGAAGGGGCGAAAACGAATAACGCCCGTTACGTGTAATTCATATCGTTTGAACGAGTCGAACCAGTTTTCGAAAATTTCCCTCACGAATGGTCACGTCGTGCTGGAATTTCCTCGTTTGAAATTCAAGATATACGAGATCCAAGTCCTTTCGCACGTGGACCTTTCGCGTAAACTTCTTTCCTTCCAACTTCTTCCCTTCCTACAAATAGAAATCTATTCCCTCGCGAGACGTCTTTTCCACGAGAAAAATCCACGTAGTGGAAAACTGACGAATTTAAGAAATAAAAGAAGGGGGGGGGGGGAAGGATTCGTTCGCGAAACAGATTCAACTCGTTCACAAACAGATACAAATGATCTTTTTCGAGCAATAAGAGTTGAGAAAGCGTATTTTCGTTAATCGAAAAGAAGAATCGAAAGAAGCGAAGCATGTACACGAATATGGAGAACATTTCAAAGATTTCGCAGTTTCTTTCCGAATAAATTGATTTCCAAAGCCCTCCCCTCTATATCTATCGATCGGGGGCGGGGGCAGGTTGGAAATCTCGGCGATTGGTAGAGTAACGATCCCTCCGACTGTCCCAGTCACATTAATTATGAACGACATAGTGTGTGCAGCATCGACAAGGTTAATCCAAGCGAGAGTATGCTTTCCTGTCGACAGCGGCCACCGTGAACGCAATCAGGACAATTGACCCGAGCTGGCCGCTCGACTGAATAATTGCCCCGCTTCCGGTCCCCGCTTTTATCCGCCTCCTCGCCCGACCCCCGACATTAGCCAACGATACCCGATCGTGACGCCTCATCGCCTGGCAAGATATCCCTGTCCTAGGAGGGGGAGGGAAGGAGGATGGAGCCCTTCCTTCGAGTGAAATCGGTCGAACGAGACGAGAAGAAAGGAACAACTTGCCTGGGTCGAGTCGAGTGCATCGATTTCGAGGAGGATGAGATAAATAATAAATTTTTCGTTAACGCAGAAGGAGAAGGTTTGAACGGATGGGTTCGCTCGTTCGTTCGAGTGAAAATTTTGCGCCCCTTGGTGCGAAATTGATCGAGTTTTCAAACGAGCCTGGAACTCGCGATTCGATCTTCTGCTGATTAATCGCCTCGTTTCTCGGCTGAAGAGATCGCGAACGTGTTCGTCGGAAGGAAAATGCGTTTAAAAATTGATCCAATTTATTACGGTGTCGCGAACGGTGTTATTAAGAACGGGTTTCAAGATCAAGGCCGTCGATATCGAAACCAATAATATCCTACTCCAAAATAAACATGGTTCGAATCGTATATCCGTGCGATCGAGAAAGAATAGAAAAATAAAAAGTATATTTTTACGTATCCAACGAAGTTTACAATTAGATCGTATATATATATATATATTATTTAATACACACGCAAGAAAATTAATTCGATTACTGCCGATTCGAAACGATCGTTCTCGGATCAGATTCAATTAATTAACTGGAAGCGAGCGTGTAAACTTAGACTCGAATACCTGCCCCGATCCCCGCGACTCGGAAAAAAAGGGAGAAATCAAGGTCGGCCGACCTGCCACGACCGACGACCGGCTCCCATTACGTCACATTGCGCGTGTTACGCGGCGGACGAGTTCTCTTCTCGGGAGACGAGCGGAGAGGGAATTTGGTCGAGAGGATTCCGCAAACAGGTTCCCACGACCAGGTTCTAATCCCGATGGAGAACGATCTTTGTCAAGGACAAAGAACCGTAGTGACACCGCGGCGCATTAACATGCGAGAGAGCTGCGAGAAGCCAGGCCAGGAATAAAGTACCGTTTCCAATCTCGATGATCCGTTACATCTTCTGCGTTCCGTCCTCGACCCGTTGGAATCTCGTCTTCGAGAGAGGAGGGAGGGAGAGACGCGGAGGAACGTCTTCGTTCAACGCTCGCAACAGGGGGATTATTATTTGGACGATCGTCCTGTGTCGAGATGGATAATCGACCAAGCTTCTTGGACGCCCTTTCGAAATATATCGCGTTGGGAGAAAGTGATTGATCGAATTTGAAAAGAGAGAGGAGAGTAGCACGTTGTGGCGTTTTCTCGGAGAGTTGTTTGTTAATTGCACACGGTGTTCCAAAACACATCTCTTCCTTTCGTTTGCGTGTAAATTAATGTAAATGGAACGTGGATGCAAATTGGATTTAGATTTATCTTTGTGAAGCGAAGCCTGAAACTTAATCTTTCTTCGAGAACAATAATGATGATGATAATTTACGATGATACGATCGATCTTCTTCAACTTGGTGCTCCTTCACTTTCGAAGATTCGAATCGAGAATAGGAATAGGACGAAAAAGTGGAATAATTAATAAGGGAAGGCGCGACCATTTGGAGAAAATATTTAACGGAGGAGGCAAGAAATACGGCCGCTCAAACGACGTAAGACGATAATTTATCCACCAGAAAGTCGTAACAATCTCGTTCGATCAATTTCAAGGAAATTTTTGCTCCATTTCTCCCGACAGGTCCGGCCATCTGCCGGGGCGAGGCACGAAAAGAAAAATTGAAGGTGACGGGGACAGGTTACGCGTTCCTGACCGACACCAGGATAATCTCCCCCTCTCCTCAGGACGGCATCACCTAGAACGGTAAATTCCAGTGGGGCAAAGCTTGTCAATTGCAGCGAATTAATGACGAGGAGACCGCGTGCTCCTCTCGATGGAACGAGACGTGTTCCATCGAGATGGATTCCGCGTACAGCAGGAGGAGGAGGTCTGCTCCTCGAATGGATGGTTGAACGGCGGTCACGTGTTCAGGCGCAATCAACCTTTTTCTGGTCGAAACGACCAGAGGATTCTGTGTAGAGGATGGTGTCTTGGTATCTTCTGGTGGTTTTGGATATATGTATGTTGGATCTAGTGAGAATCTCTAGAGAGGTTTTTTTTTTTTTTTCGCTAAGTCAATCACTTTGATTTAATTATTTAATCACTGGATACCCACATTTTTCGACACAAAAAAAAACTCGACGCTGAAAAAATTCGTTTAAACAAAAGCGACACAGTTTTTACAAAAGCCTGAACTAAATTATATTAGAAACTCTGGAGCTAATAGCTCGTGATTTGGATGCGAAATCACGAATATTGCTTGCAAATTCGAAATCTCTCTCCTCCTTTCATACGTATTATTTATTAACGTATTTATCAACCTCTCCGAGAATCGAAGGAAAGTCGGCATTGTCGTCGCTGAATTATTACGTTGTAAATAATCCTGGATGAATTCGAAGGGATGGAAAGCCGCGTGGAATAAGAGAAAGTAGGGAACGGGTAAAGGGTTTCGCGTGGAAGGAAGTTTTTTTTACGATGTAAGATGTAACGAGGCCTCCGCCGAGTGGCCTGTAAACAGGTTCGCGAACAGATCGATCCTCCGCCCGAGAACCGGTCGTCGACCTTCCCGGCCCAAAATCATTTCAAATTCTTGGCGCGCCTCGTGGACGGTCTCGTTCATTGCCACGCTGCCAACTATAGAACGAGGAACGGGCGATTTGCAAACAAAAAAACCACGCGCTCCTGTCATCCGCTCGTCTATCTGTTATGCATGAAGAACGCGTGAAGGCGAATTCCTTCGATCGTCCGTTCCTTTTAGATCGAAGCTTTTCGTCGACGAATATCTTAGCAACGTAACTTGAACGGCTTTGCCGATTCACCGATCCTGATCGATCGTCGTATTTCGCGATGCATTTCACTCGAGCGAATCTTCGTTTCAAATTTTATCACGAAATGGATTAACGAATATGTTAGTTGTTCTAGAGTCGATGGGGGGAAGACTTGAAATTCGAAAAACTTCTTTGACCATTGATTTCTCTCGATGTTCCAGGGACGTATGTCCGTATCTCTCTCTCTCTCTCTTT